AACAGTGATTGAGATGTATGTAGTATAAGAAGGCAACACAAGTCTCGGGCCCAAGAGAGCTTAGGGGCAATTAGGAAAGTTTCCTGAAGAAGGTAAAACCTAGGTTAAAGCAGAAAAGGAAAAGGCTGAAGCACAGGACATAGGGAAGGGCAAGGACAAAAGGTCAAAAACCTTTAGGGGCCATTCCAAGGATCTTGGAACTTACTGTCTCAAGAAGGAGCTAATAAAGGCTTTTAAACAAGAAGCTGAACTGGTATTTGTCTTTAGGAAGATAACTCGATACAGAAAAGACTGGCAGGGAGAACCATTAACTCACACAAAAAACAAAGGCATGAAATAAGGCTCAAATAACATGTGATTGTTAAATGAATAAATTAATGAAGAGAAGAGAAAGAGAGATGAGAAAAATGTATAAATATTAAACTGAGGAGTCTGTGAGATACCAGCTGGCTATATGCAGAAGGCAGTGGAAAATATAGATCCCAAGTGAGTTTTCTAAGTCCTAGGCTAAGGCTATAGGCTATAGGTGTGCCATTATGCTAAGTAATTACAGTTGGAAGAGAAAGTGTAGATACATTCACTATGATATGTCTGTGGGTCAGCCAAGTGATTATAACCAACAGGCAGCTGAATATACAAGTCTGGGCTGAAGACAGAGCGCAGGCTTACATCAGTGTACAGGTGGCAAGGGCAAGGAACATGAAGGAAATCTCCCAGAGCGGTTACCTAAGAAATAATAAACCTAACATTTATGTAGCCCTCAGTATGGCTCATTTAATCCTCATTAACAACCTATGAAGTAGATATTATTAACCCATTTTACAGGTGGTTATTTCTCTGATAATATGGGGTAAAGAACTACATAAAACAAGAAAGGCCCAAGAGATTAGAGGAGAACTAGGTTCAAGTAATGTCAGAAATTAAGTTAGAGGGTTCAAGAAGAGTAATCGATGATCAATGCCATGGAAAATCTGAGTAGGACAAAAATGGAAGAAAAAGAAAGGAAAGGCTGGGCGCAGTGGCTCGTGCCTGTAATCCCAGCACTTTGAGAGCCCTAGGAGGGTAGATCACGAGCTCAGGAGTTCAAGACTAGCCTGGCCAATATGGTGAAATCCCATCTCTACTAAAAATACAAAAAATTAGCCGGGCTTGGAGGCAGGTGTCTGTAATCTCAGCTACTCGGGACGCTGAGGCAGAGAACTGCTTGAACCTAGGAGGCGGCGGCTGCAGTGAGCTGAGATTACCCCACTGCCCTCCAGCCTAGGCAACAGAGCCAGACTCCATCTCAAAAAATAGAAAAAAAAAAAGGGGGAGGACAGGACATGGGATATTTCACAACTGAAGGACATTAATAGTTATGACTTGATAACATGCAGTTTTAGGAGGAAGGACAAGAAATATATTGGAGTAAGCTACAAGTCAGTTGAGGAAGTGAAAACAGTGATCATAAGACTAGTCTCTCAAGAGGTCTAGCAGTGAAGGAATCTCTAGTGTTTAGGTGTTTAGGAAGCGGGTAACAATGTGTTGAGTGCAGTAGGTATAACACATATCTCATTTAACATGTCCATTTTTAAAGATGCAGGAGATTCAGAAATGCTAACAAACTTGTTCAAAGTCACACAGCGAGTTAAGCGGCAATCGAAAAATTCCCCTCCCAGGTAACATAAAGCTGACTAGACAGCTATTTATATAACACACTGATTGAACAAGAATTTCTTAAGAATCTAATCTGTGCATGCAATTACATAATGTTCACTGTGATAAGCATCTAACTTACCTTAAGAAACAAAAATAACTGACTTGAGAAACAAATGAACTCAGAAAAACTTTAGCCTGCCTGCAGTGTTCCCATTATTAAGCTTTCAAAAGAGCCCATAAATCTGTATCACAATAATGAGTGCCTACTCAGTGAAGAACTTTGCCACATCATGTTCAGGTTCAGTGGCGAAAAAGGGAAACAACAATGGGTAGAATTTACAATCCAGAGCAAAAAAATGTTCCCTCTTGCACCCAAAGGTTTGCCCTAATACAACGCTTTTACATATCACAGAACTGGGTCATTAAGTAATCAGCAAAACTAAAGAACAAGAACAAATTCTCATTTACATTAGTATGGTTAGTATAATCTCTCAGCCAATGTGGCAAAATCCAAAACAAAGCCATCCTCTTAGAAAAACGGAACTTGGCTAGCCTTTGTTAAAAACTTTCTCCACTTTTTTCCCATAGGAACAAGGGACTCTTCCCTGGTTAATACAGTAGTTCTATATCTATGGGGGATACAGTGCAAGACTCCCAGCAGATGCCTAGAACCGTGGGATAGCAGTGAACCCAACACACATTG